ATTAGGGCTTCAACATATTAATTTGAGGAGGTCACAACTCAGTCCACAGCACCAAATATTTGATCATAGCAGTCACTGCTGGGCCCAGGCAGGGAAGCAAGACATAGGAGAATAGGATTGGAAAGGTGATTTTTCATTGTTTGCTCTTTGTACCTCTGTAATTCTCTACTTATCTGATATCAACTGAGTGTCCAATAATTCAATTCAATTCTGACCCACTGTGTTACTGACTGCATGTTCTTGGATTCTCAATAGAAAGTGACATGAGGCCAAAAGAGTTTTCCCAGATAAGACTTCACTGGAGCTTATGCCCAGACAGGAAGGCAGCATGAGAGAGAGAGAGAGAGAGAGAGAGAGACACTGGGGTAGGCTGAGGGTAGGGTGTGCAGGTCAGCATTATCTGCTCATGATGATTATCTTGAATAATGAACCACCTGGTGGTCTGGGCAGCAGCAACAAGGCTGTAATCAATTGTTCAGCATTTCTTCCCAGGTGGGGCACTCCACAACCTTGGTTTGATATTTAGATTTCCTAAGGGCAGTTTCTGGAACTCTTTAAGTAAAAGGCATAAACATAATGAAGAAGGAGCCGCTTCCCATTGCTATTCTATGTCATATGTACTTAGGGTTAGCGTCAGATTCTGTAAGTTAAAGAGCTCAGTCCCACAAAACTGCCCCCACTTCAGATGCTGTTCTTAAGTCATGTGCCACCCACACTTCTGACTTGCTATAGATTGGTGAGGTCCATGAATCCTCTCTCAGTTTCAGTATTTTGCTACAATGCCCCTCAGAACTCAAGAAATTATTTTACTTAGGTTTACCAGTTTATTATAATGGACCCAAGTGAACAGCCAAAAGAAGAGGTACAGAGAGGGTAAGATCCAGGAGAGGCCCAAGAGCTTCTGTCCTGTGGAATTGGAGTCAGCCGCCCTCCCAGCCTGGGTTGGATGTGTTCACCAGCCCAGGAGCCCTCCAAACCCTGTTGTTAAGGGGATTTTATGGAGTTTATTACATAGGCATGATTGATTAAATCACTGGCCAACAGTGATCCAATTACATTTCCAGCCCCTTTTCCCTTTCCAGAGATTGGAGGGTGAAGGTTCCAATCATCTAATTAAGGCTTGGTCTTTCAGGAGAAGAGCCCCCATCCTCAAGCTTTCTAGAGGTCCTCCAGGAGTCACTTTATTAGCATAAACTCAGGTACAGTTGAAAGTTAAGGTACAGTTCTTATGAACAGGACAGTTTTTATGAACAGTAAGAAAATGCTCCTGTTATCCTTATCATGCAGGAAACTGCAAGGGTTTTAAAGCTCTGTGTCATGAACCAGGGACAAAGACTCAGTATATATTTTTTTTATATTTTACCACAGTGTTAATGAAAAGGGTCCTGCTCCAGACCCAAAGAGAGGGTTCTTGAATCGTGTGAAAAAAAGAATTCAAGGTGAATCCATAGAGTGAAGTGAAAGCAAGTTTATTAAGAAAGTAAAGGAATAAAAGAATGGCTACTCCATTGGCAGAGCAGCCCTTAGGCTGCTGGTTGGCCATTTTTCTAGTTATTTTTTGATTATATGCTAAACAAGGGATTAGTTATTCCTGACTTTTCTGGGATAAGGGGTAGGCAATTCCTGAAACTGAGGGTTCCTCCCCCTTTTGGACCATATAGAGTAACTTCCTGATGTTGCTATGGCATTTATAAACTGTTATGGCACTAATGGGAGTGTCTTTTAGCATGCTAATGCATTGTAATTAGTGTATAATGAGCAGTGAGGATGACCAGAGGTCACTTTCGTCACCATCTTGGTTTTGGTGGGATGTGGCTGGCTTCTTTACTGCATTATTTTATCAGCAAAGTCTTTGTGAACTGTACCTTGGGCCAAACTCCTATCTTATCCTGTGACTAAGAATGCCTAACCTCCTGGGAATGTAGCCCAGTAGATCTCAGCCTTATTTTTAACTGGCCCCTATTTGAGATGGAGTTGTTCTGATTCGAATGCCTCTGACAACAGTACCTTTTGAATTTTGACTTATGTATATATACACACACACACACACACACACACCCCACAGAAGTATTAATACTGAGTAATACTGAGAGGGGGGTAAGGGCGATGATCTAAGAGACTGAGTTACTCAAGTGCACATAATTTGCCATGGTGAGAGCTGGACGTCAGGTTTCCTTACTTCTGTTTGAAGATTCTTTCCAATGTGCTGTGATTACTTTCTCATCTCTTTGAAGATGTTTACTGCTTTCATAACTTCAGGATGTCTAAATATTCTAGTTTTTAATATTTGAAGGTGAATCCTCCAGATTTAGGGGTATGGGGGTCACTTGTGGGAGGTCAATGATGTTTCCTCACACATTAATATAATTCTTCTCCAATATTAAATGCAAGTTATGGTATATATAGAGGCAACCATGTATATTATGCAAATTGAGAAATACTTGGAAACTGTCCCATCCAAAAGTACTCATCTATTAATCTGCTCAAAGAAATATGAAAGAAAACTTAGAAGAAATCCCACTACTGTGTGTATCTCTTAAGTAAAATACAAATATTTCTAGGAGAGGTACTCTTGAAATGGGAGAGTTCCCTGACCCCCCTTACAGGACATGCAACAGGGGTGGGGCTCATGTGTTTGGCTGTCATACACTCAAACCCTTAACAGGAGGGAGAGCACACAAAGAGGCGGGCACACGAGCTGAGGTGAGTGCTTTGAGGCTCTGGTCCCAGAGTAGCATATGCAGTGGGTGCCTGTGACTTCCAAAGCTCAAGTGGGCATGGCATGTGTTACAGTGTGTTCTTTTAGTTTTGCTGTCCACAGGCGGCTTAAGTGTTAACCAGCTCAGCAGATCCTCTGCATTTTTGCAAGGGCAGAGGGCCAGTGTGACAGCTTTCTGTAACCCAACCTCTTGTCCAACATCCTGGAAGAATCGGGTCACACACAGACTTGAAGGGTGGTGAATGTGGGGGTTTTACTGGGTGGTGAAGGTGGCTCTCAGTGGGTTGGATGGGGAGCTAGAAGGGGGATGGAGTGGAAAGATAATCTTCCCTTGAAATTCAGATGTTCTTTCTCTTCTCTCTGCTGTACCATTCTGCTGTTCTTCTGCTCTTCTGTTCAACTGCTCATCTCCTCATCTGCTCATCTGCTTCTGGAGCATGAGGTCTGGGGTTTATATGGGTATGAGATAGATGGGTGTGGTGGCCTAAAAGGCAAACTTTTGGTCATGAGAACACAAATGCCTGTTTCCATTTACGGCTGTGAATATCCAGGCTTGAGGATGGAGCCTTTGCCAAGGAACTACCCTCTTCTACCCAGTATTTCTCTTGTCTTTGTCCATATCATTATGAAGGGGATGTTTACTCAATATTTAAAAAATAACTAGCTCTACAAATGGCAATTGTGTCCATATCACTCCTATACTGTCAATAACTATCATTAACTCCTGAAAAAAAGAATTTATCAGATTCCTACTTCCAGGTCAGATTCTAAGAGTAGGATCCTTCAGAAATGGGACAAGTGGCTGATGAAGAGTCAAACTCTGTAAAATATTTTGAGAGATTTATTCCCAGCCAACTTTGAGTGATTATGGCCTATGAAACAGTTCTCAGGAGGTCCTGAGAACGTGTCCAAAATGGTCGGGCTGCAGCTTGGTTTTATACATTTTAGGGAGACATAAGACTTCAATTAAATTTATTTAAGAAATACATTGGAGGCTGGGTGCTGTGGTTCATGCCTGTAATCCCAGAACTTTGGGAGGCTGAGGCAGGTAGATCACTTGAGGTCAGGAGTTCGAGACCAGCCTGGATAACATGGTGAAACCCTGTCTCTATTAAAAATAAAAAAATTAGCTGGCTGTAATGGTGTGTGCCTGTAATCCTGGCTCCTTGGGAGGCTGAGGCACAAAAATAGCTTGAATCCGGTAGGCGGAGGTTGCAGTGAGTCAAGATCGCGCCACTGCACACTCCAGCCTGGGTGACAAAGTGAGACTCTGTCTTAAAAAAAGAAAAAAAAGAAAAAAAAAATACATTGCTTTGGCCCAGAAAGGCAGGACAGCTTGAAGCAGGGGCTTCCAGCTTATAGGTAGATTTTTAAATTTTCTGGTTATAATTGGTTGAGTTTATCTAAAGACCTGGTATCAACAGAAAGGAATGTCTGGATTAAGATAACAGGTTGTGGAAGCCAAATTTCTTATATGCAGAGGAAGCCTTCAGGTAGTCAGAGAGAATAGATTGTAAAATGTTTCTTATGAGACTTAAAGTCTGTGTTGATGTTAATGGCAGAGAGGTATAATGAAACATGTCCAACCCCCACTTCCCATCATGTCCTGAAACAGTCTCTCATGTTAAATTTTAAAAGAGCCCTGGCTGAGGAGGAAGTCCATTCAGATGGTTGGGGGCCTTGGAATTTTATTTTTGGTTTACAAAGTGATAATAAATTTTGATTTAAAAAACAAAATACCCGAGGACTGGGCTCAGTGGCTGATGCCTATGATCTCAGCATTTTGAAAGGCCAAGGTGGGAGAATCACTTGAGGTCAGGAGTTTGAGACCAGCCTGTGCAACATAGGGAGACCTTGTCTACACACACACACACACACAAACACACACACACACACACACACACACACACAATCTAAGGATTTTCGTTGCCTTTTTCTTCAAAGACAGGGTCTTACTATGTTACCTGGGTTGAATTTGAACCTGTAGACTCAAGGGATCCTCCTGGTTCAGCCTCCCAAGTACATGAGATTACAGGTATATGCCACCACACTCATTCTTTTGGTTTTGTCATCTGTAAAATGAGTGAACTGGACCAGTGTGTCCTCAGATTTCCCTCCCTGAGATTATTTTTCTTACTTGCCAGATGAGGAAACGAAGATTCAAGAGTTCCATGATCACCAGCTATTTTAATCCATTTGAGCTGTTAAGACAAAATGCCAGAGACTGGGTAACTTATAAAAAAAATCGGAATTTATTTCTTAGAGTTCTTGAGGCTAGGAATTCAAAGATCCAGGGGGCAGGTGATGAGGGCTCAGTTCCTCTGTGACCAAGATGGTGCCTTGGGGAAGCATCCTACAGAGGGGATGAATGCTGTCCCCTGACATGGCTGAAGGCAGAAGAACAAAAAAGGACTGAATGTTACATGGAGCCTCAGGGCCTAAGTCCCATTCACAAAAATAATCTAATCACCTCTTAAATGCTCCACCTCTTAATACTATCACATGAACCATTACGTTTCAACACATTAATTTTGGAGGAAATCCATTCAAACCATATCACCAGGCAAGGAACCTGTTTAGCATGTCCACTTACCTCCAAATTCCACGGCCTTTCCACTGTATCATACTCATTCATTCATCCTTTGAGTACAAGGTATGATGCTATGTGCTGGGGATGCAAAACCAAAAAGATAAGCCTCCTGCTCTCCGGGGGTTGACAGCTGCTGGGGAAAATTAATGCTTAGAGAGTCTCACAGTCAGCTCCCTGCTGGAGAGAGAGATGGAGGAAGGAGGACAAAGAGTATCAGGGAATGGGGTCAGAGCAAGTTTCCCAGGAGAGGTCCGTCACTGAAGCTGAACGAGAAAGGATGAATAGGTGTTTGGTATAAAGAAAGGGAGGGCCTGTGCTCTCAGGAGGCAATACTTCATCCTTAAGTGGGTTACTTAGGATGCCATGTCAGTTGTTTGTGGTAGACTGGGAGACAGAAACTTTTGGGTAGAGGGGTCTTTCAACCCTTTTTGGATAAGATTATTTGTCACTGCCCTATTAAGGTCTGTATCAGATTTTCAGGGTCATAGGCTCCTTCTAACTTGCTCTTCTGCCATCCCCTATGTGGTCTTTATGCAAGAGGCTGCATTGTGAAAGACTGAAGCTGGCAGACAAATAATAGACCAGGCCATAACTACTTCTTTGGGTGGTTTATACTTGGTTTTACTTCCTAGATTATGAAGAGGGGGATGTGCATTCCTCTAGAGGTTGTGAAAAGACTCAGTAACACAGCCAAGTTTCAAAGGTGAAACACAAGAGCAAATTTTCATCATTGCTTTTAAAAAAATGCATGATGGCTACTGCCTGGGCTGAGGGCTCCCTGGAGCAGGGACAGGTTCTTTCCAGGTAGTTTCAGTGCATCACATTCTGCAACTCTCTGCTTCACTCCCCAGCCCCTTAAGAAATACACTTTGGAAGCAGAGCTGGAAAAATTTCTCTCTTGCCTTCCTCAGACCTGTTCCTTATTTTTTGATAACTTTGGTCAGTGTCACTGTGAGAGGCAGCTAGCTGTCTCAAAGGTGCTAGTTATTCTTCAATTCACAGACCTGTAAACACACACACACACACACACTCCTTGTGCCTCTCTGTTGATGCTGGCAGAACCCATCTTCTGCTACATTCTTTGCATTTCTAACACCAACACGTTATAACATTCAAGGTTCCTAGGCTAAAATTTTATCCATCTCATGTTCTTGGAAAGAGACTGATAGCAGCTATTCTAGACCTTTTGCACATTCTACAGATCCCCTGTTTATTTCTTTTGCTTTTATGGGAAGAGGGAAAACATTTCATTCACCAGAATCTTTCTTAATTTGTTGCATTTGTTTAGGAACCAATCGTTTTCAAAACTGCTCCAGGGAGAGCCCTCAGCTGGTGTGCAAATGAAATGCATCAGAGCAAGACTGCTGTCCAGGATAAGAGAGAAACATGCATGCATCATTTTGAAAGAGAGTGGGGAGGGAGGGAGAGGAGGGAGGGCGAGGAGGAAAGAGAGAAGCTGGAAAGGTCAGACCACCATCCTCTCAGACACCCAGGCTTGTAACCTCCTCTCCGCTCCTCACATTCATTTACCCTCCCCTGGGAGTAGGTTCTCAAAGCCTGTCATTCTTTTCCATCACTGAGTGAAGTCGTTTATTCTGTGTCTGAATACCAAGGTCCCAGAGGATCTTTCTGCCATCAGCTTCTCCACCCTCCTCCACTCTCTGCCACACCCCCATTATCAATCAGACCAATCTTCTGACAGCCCCTGGTTGTGGACCCAACTTATCCTTCTTGGCCTATCTTCGTAGCATTAGCTTTTATTGAGCACTTATCACAAGCCAGGTACTCCGTTAAAAGCTTCTAAATGTAATTTGTCCATCTAAAATCTCTTCCCTGGAATGTGCTTTCTCCCCTACTTCCTCTCCCACTCTCTGAAATTGCACTGAGCTGCCATTGACTGGAGCTGAGCATATGACGCAGGCCAGCCAATCAGAGCATTTCACAGCCTGGCCATGGGCCAGCCAGTCAGAACCCTGCACAGCTGAGCCATGGGCCAGCCAATGAGAGAATTTCACAGGCTGGCCACAGCCCTGCCAGTCTGAGCATTGTACCCTCTGTCACCCTACCACCACCCTCAGCTTGCTTGCTTTCTTTTTTCTTTTCTTTCTTTCTTTTTCTTGAGATAGAGTCTCACTCTGTTGCCCAGGTTGGAGTGCACTGGTGGTCACTGAAACCTTCCTTCCCCGGGTTCAAGTGAGTCTCCTGTCTGAACCTTCTGAGTAGCTGGGATTACAGGCACATGCCACCACACCCAGCAAATTTTTGTTTTAGTGGAGATGGGGTTTTGTCATGTTGGTCAGGCTGGTCTTGAACTCCTGACCTCAGGTGATCTGCCTGCCTCAGCCTCCCAAAGTTCTGGGATTACAGCCATGAGCCACTGCACCTGGCTCCATCCTCAGCTTTCTAAAATGTGACACGTAGGTGTGGTGGAGAGGAGCCTTCTCTTCTGGGTTTGAAATCTACACAGAGAAGCAGAGAGGAGAGGCGATGCAGAATGAGAGAGAAACGGAGACCTGATAACATTGTCCCTCTGGATTCCATGGCATGTGGGGCTTGTTCTACCTCTGAACTTTTTCCAGAGTAAGTAAAAAAGTCCCTTTCTTTCTTCAGCCTGTTTGAATTAGGTTTGAAGTTACTTGCAACTGAAGCCATGAAGAAAGAGTCGTGGGTGAGCGACTGCTGAGTCTGTCCTGCAGACTCTGGCCAAGTGATGGATGAAAGGAGTACTCAGACACAGGTATACAGTGTTCAAGAGCAGCTAGGGGACTGCCAGTCCTAGTGGTCAAAGAGAGTGAGCAGTCCTGATCAGTTGGAGCTGCTAGCATTTATTGCATACAGACAATGCAAAAAACCTGGAGCAAACAAAATCTGCTGGTAAATAATATTGTTCCCTCTTACAGGGAGCAGTCACACTTGTGGATGAGCAAGGGCTGCTTTTAGGACAACATGAGTAACCAAGCTATTTAGATAAACTCCCCTACATTCCCTTGTTCCTACTCCTTGCCCTTTGCCTCAGTGTAAGAAGAGCCACCTTCAGCTCATTCTTCCCTGAAGCTTTACAAAACCTCCCAGCCTTCCAAGAAGGTTTGCCTTTTTCCTACAATTTTTCCCACCACCCTGACCCATCTCCCACAAGTGACTATCTGGGCCAGTGGCGGGGAGGTAAAAAAAAAAAAAAAAAAAAAAA